CAGTTAGGCATTATTAGGAGGTGGTAGAACCTTTAGTAGGTGGGTCCTAGTGGAAGGAAATTAGGCCACTGGGTGTGCCCTTTTGGTCTCTCTCTTTGAATCTCCCCTGCCATGAGGTGAACAAGCCTCTTCCATCACATGCTCCCTGCCCTGATTGATGTTCTTCTACCTCATCATAGGCTCCAAAACAATGGAACCAACTCATTACGGACCACAACCTTTGAAACCATAAGCCAAAATGAAACTTTTCTCCTTTTAGGTAAACTTTCTCAGGCATTTAGTCACAATGATGGAAAGCTGACTAACATATGCACACTAAAATATTTTGAGATATAGTATAATAACAGCAAATTCAAAGAGACTTGGCCAACATTCAGTACCAGTGAGGAACATTAAAAAAATCAAACTATTCACTGGTTTCATTTAAGGCTTACACAATTGAAGAATCCAAAAGATGGAAAGGAAGGAGCAGAAAAGTGCTTATTTAAAACTTTCACAGTTTATGCTTATATCCTTTTGCCTATATACAGTCAGGAACCTTTGTTTATTTGATCAGGGTTCAAGCTCCATTTCTCTTTCATTTTCTCTGTCACAAGATGACTGCTCTCAGCAGTAAGGACCACATGCATTCTTATTCACTTCAAGGTAGAGAAAAGGAGTCATACTTCACAATTTTGAGGTTAAAGTCTTGTGATTGGTGTTGATTTGCCTAATCCTAAACAATTTCTTTTGGTCAGAGAACAAGCTAGGTTGGGATCAGATTGTCTCGATTGCAGTATATTTAGAGACCAAAGTGAAGTTAATTTCCCCAAAACTTCTCAGGAGTGTGCTGCACAACATGAGAAGAGTAGAATAAGTGTTGGGAATGCAACTTCAATGTCCACTATAATCATTTTCAAAGTGTATAAATGTATGACWACTATTTTATTCTGTTAGTTGGAGGTAAACAAGTACACAAGCAAACAACTAGATCTAAGTATATATCTAAGTAATACAGAGTATGATTGCATTTTTGATGTGCTACTATTGACAACTTTCAAGCCCATTCCCTAATTTGTTGTACCACATCTGGGCAAGATATAAGAAAGCCTGGGTGTTCCCTATTTTGGTGCCAATAGGAAATTCAAACCATATAAGCTTAGTCCCCTGTGTGGGAATTTTTACCCAAGCTTTATGCTATGAAAAAAAAAAACCCAAATCTTCTCCCCTAGTCTCTCAAGAGGTTTTTAGACCTGCTTGGGGAGTTCTGCCCTGCAATTCCTAGAAAGCCTCATTATGTGAGTAATAAACTTTGACACTCTTGGTGCATATGTGGTRTTATTGCAACTCTTAAAATATAACTGAATTTTGAGTATGGTTGATTTTTTTTTTTCCTGTGGGTGACTATAGCAGCACACAAAGTACAGTGGAAGTAAACTGAAATTAGTGTAGTCCACCAGCTATAGTCTAAATAGGCCCCCTTCCTCAAATCCATATCTTAAAACCTAATCATCAATATGATGGTATTAGGAGATGGGTACAKTGGGAGGCGATTCATGAATTAGTTCACTGCCCTTATAAGAAAGGTATCAGAAAACTACCTTCCTTCTTTCAAGGACACAATAAGGTGTCATCTACAAAMCAGGAAATAGGCCCTCACCAGGCATCACCTTGATCTTTGAATTCCCAACCTTCAGAGCTTTTGTTTTTAAGCTACCCAGAATTTTGTTATAATGGTCTTAACCAACTAAGAAACTATCATTGTAATATTTCCTTATTTATCACCATCTATCCAAGCTGGTGATCTATGCTGGGTTCACAAAATCTGACTATTCCAGTAACTTAAGAAAATGGTGAAGAAAGCATGCAAACACACAGAAGTATCTCTTCAAAATCTGGGGACAACTCTGTGATCTTAGAGTCAGTGGAAAGGGAAAGAGCCACTGGAATTCTTTATTCTTATATAAGGGACACATAAGGGGAGGTTCCCTGGAACATTCTATCCCAAAAGGGAAAAGGATAGGATTACAAAGGAACAGGTGGGTATAGTTCAACCCCATCTGGTGACGCCCACTCCTGGAGCTATACCTCATTATTCTAGCGGAGGTAAAGTCCAACATATTTTGGGGTGCAAGATCTGTTCAGTACCTTAAAGGTACTGTTCAGGACTTAAAGGTGTGTACATAGCTCCTGTCCAGAGCGGCTCCCAACACTTAATATTCTCACCAAACATACCATCTTACCCTGAGTCTCCTACCTCTTTGATTAGCTTCAGATTCCTGAAACATCTTCAGTTCCTTCTTTTTTGCTGCCCACATGCCTTTCAAATATTCTTCACCAACTTCTTAGCTACCACTTTGGCTCAGGTCTTCATAATTCCTCATTCTGGTTATTTCGTATCTTCTAACTGATTTCTGTATTTATAATCTTCACTTCTCTCTTACCCAACAATCCATCCTCTACACTTCTATTTGAAGTAATTCTTCTCAACATTGATGAAATAACTCAGAAATTTTCCATTGTCTTTGGAATATGGTTCAAATTCCTTAGTACAGTTTGTAAAATTCTTCATTATCTTGCCCCATGTACATCTTCCATTTCTCCTGCCACATTCCCACATACCACCATCTTTGCTTCTATACCTACCTACAAGATATACTAACCTCCACAGTGCTGACACAAGGAAATACATCCTTTGTCTGGAGCATGGTCATGTCTCTCCATAGCTGGCTGATTCCTAGTGATTCTTCAAAATATGTCCTGAGTTTTACAGACAATGAGAAGTACTTCCTGTTTAGCCTCGGTAGAGTGAAATGCTCTTTCTTCATATTTTCACAGTAAACTTGATTTCAGTGTAATCACTACAATATCTGATTTGATTGTATCTTTCTCCACATTTGATACTCTTGAGGACAGGGCACCATGTTTCTCATATCAGAAGGTCACAATTTTTATGAGGGTGATTGGACTGCAGACAGATATATAACAAAGATAAGTTATAATATCAGATAGCTTATAGAAAGTGCCCTGAAAAGTAATAGATACATGTATTCTAGAGGAGTCTAAGAAAAGACACAGTGGAAAAATTAGAGCCCTTGTGTACTGGGAATATAGTACAGGCACTTGGRAAAACAGGAAGATTCTCAAATGGTAATTCCACTGGGTCACTTGTTAACTCTGTGAATATACTAAATATATTGGTTTGTACACTTAAATAAGAAAACAAATACAGCAATTACTGTAGGGAAGAGATTTCATAGAGGTGGTGAGATTTGGATGCACTGATACACAAGTGATATGAAAAGCAGAGGTGGTATGCTGTAAAGAATGAATATTAAATCTTCTTGGTGGACAGATCTGGCTCTGCCACTGGTTAAGTCTCCCTAAGTCTGTATTCTCAACAAAAAAGTGATCATGTTAATATACCTAATTTATAGCCTTATTGTGWTGACAAATTAAATAATGGATTGAAAATATTAAGCCTAATGGCAGGGACACAGTAAATGGTCAACAGACATTAATTATTAGTATTTGATTCTGGATGTGTTTAATACTAAGTTTTGGATTATGTGGATAAGCATGTAAACACTGCAAAAGAAACTCCCAGAAACTTACCTGAAATTTCAAGCAGGAAGAGATATGAGAGACAAAATGATATAAAGGGAATCACACTCAGGTTAAGCATCATTTATTGAATATTTTTTTCTGATTATTAGACACTATGCTRGAAAGATGAATGAGAAGTAAATTGCTGGATGTACAAATGAGAAGTGATCCTTGACTTGATGGTCCAGAAGGCAGGTAAACAAATACGTCTAAGAAAGCATTGTGTTTCCTCTAATATTGGTTGAATGTACAAAGAAGAGGGTGATCTGGAAAAAGGGGATAGAAGAGGTGCCCTGCTCAGTATTGGAAATTCTCATTAATGTCTGAGGCCCACAATTACTGGATGTTTGTCAGTATCTTGCTGATATTTTCCACTTCCAGTTCAGATTAGAGATTACAGATTTAAGTCTATTTATTGAGTGGAAAGAAGAGAAAAATAATGCCCAAGATGTTCAAGAATGCTTTTTATAAAAGTGTATGAATATTCTGGAGATTGATGCTCCAAGTACCCAGGTTCCTACATTGTAATATCTTGAAAGCCAAGATTTTGAGTGTGTCTTGTCTTGCATTGTTACCATGTGACTCAGAAAAGGATAGTGTATACTTAATAAAAAATTATAAAGTGACTGTTCTTCAAATCTCTCCCATAGCAAAAGCAAAGACTTTAACAAGTAAGCTGCCTCTTTGTTACTTACAGCTATTGACATTCGGCAACAGCCAAGTCTACATACCTATTCTTCCTTGGAAATAAAAGTCTGTCAATTGTGTCATTTTTTTTTTTTTCCTTTTTTCTTCAGGAGAATCTATTTGACAGCTTTGAAAAAAGGAATGACTGTCTTTGTGACAGAGATGGCATGTATGACTTGCTGTTATCTGGAGTTGAGGATAAGAACAAAATTCCTTCTAGAGCAGAATTCTTTCACATTAGTAGTGATCTGGAGAGGTTCTTAGCTTAGGTGCATCCTGGTGCTTTAGAGTCCAGATATGTAAAGGTGAGGGGGAGGAGAACTCATTGCATTTACTACATAAATGTAGGACACTCTGCTTAGTTCCCATGGTTTTGTCTTTATTGTTGTTTTGTTTTTTGAATTCAGCTTGGAAGTGGTGAAGTGATGGGGTGGGGGAAAGGGATCTTCTCCCAGCCAATCCTAGCTTTCCATTTGGGAGAGACATTGTGATTTGGTTTTATTTTTCTATGACATTTAGTCACACAAACAGGGCTTGTCCTCAAGAGGAATGAGACGCTGTACTTAACAGGAGTTGGGTCTGGGTAATGCCTTCAGAAGAAAAACCCTCTGAGGATAAACCAAGCCAAGGGTGGACTGGGTTGCTAGGATGGACYCCCCTCACCCCCCCAGGCTCAGGGCCACGTGACTCGCGCGTGTGCCTTGAGTGACAGCGCGCAGGCTTGGGCGGGCCTTGGTGGAAATCAACTTCCGGGGGCAGAGGTGTTCGAAGGCGGGTGGTGCGTGGGTTGCCCCAAGTTGGGTTCTTGGGGCCGCAGTTTCCCCCGAGGGTCTGGGGTCTTGTCGGGGTGTGTGTTTGCGGGTCTGTGTCCTGGGGGTGGCTCACCCKGCAKCGGCTCGGCGGCGGCGGCGGCGGCAGCGAGCGAGAGCGGGGAGCAGGTAAATGAACGCTCGCCTTCCGGGCCTGGGTCTAGGGGCCRGGGCKGCGCGAGGCCGGCGGGGAGCAACCCGCTAGGGCTGTGAGGGCGGCGGAGCTTCTGCCGCCCTCCAGCTGTGGCTTCGCCCCTGGCGGTCGCCGCGACCCCGAGTCTGGAGGCGTGACCCGCCTCGGGCGGGAAGGAAACCTGGCTGCCCGGACTAGGAGTGCAGACCGGTTTCTTTGCTCGCCGGCAGGCTTTGGCACCTGCACGTTGCAGAGTTGAGTGTTTTGGAAAGTCTACGCACAAGTACACGTGATTATTGTGTCACCGAAGCGCCCACGGATAGGATACTTTGATTCTTGYCTAGGTGTCACTGTCCACGCCAGATTTAAGTTTCCTTTTACTTTGCCAAGACCAGCGGGATAAAAGCTCTGTTGGGTCCACCAGCTACATTTCCTTAAAGTGACTTGGGCCACAAGTTGCAGTAAAAGTGGCACTTTGGAGTTAAGGCTGGAGCAAGTACTTTTGCCAAGTGGTCAGATATCCTCCATCACCCAAAGCGCGACCCCCAGGCCACATAATAAAAATATTTCCTCCATCTGCGCTTGTCACCTACCGCGGAGGAAAGCTTTGGACACGAAACCTAATTTTTGCTTTAAGGAGTGGGAACTATTAAAAGCAGCGCTGAGTGTTTTTTTGGTAGGATGGTGTTGCCGMTGTTACTCTCACTTGCTTCCCTGTTGAGAGTTGGGGCTGAGCCTGATTTCCTGGAGGGTAAAGTCTTGGCCACAACTGTAGGTGACTCAGCGGCCCCTTTTGAATTCCCACTCTTTCCTTCCCTCCTCCCCTCAACTGTGCAGATACTGATGCCATCCATCTTCGTCTTCAGATATTTATCCTGGCAGGAGTTGGTTGATGGTTTTTGAAGCAGTTTGCATGTTGTGTGATGGAACTATTGGGGTGGGCTGATATTTCATCTTATCATTAGTTGGGCTAACATTTCACCTTACAATGTAAGGCAAAAACAGAAGTTGCAGGAATTCAYAGGATGCTGTCCGTCATTTGGAGAACTCTGCACTTGTGATAACTGCTGGTACAATTTGTTAAAGAGTCTTGGCTGCACTGTACCTGTTAGGTAAATGGAGCAAYGGGGATGCCAAGCAGAGTACACCTGCGTGGTGTGCCTTGACCAGTATATTGTGTGGTAGAAAATTGCCCTGGTTACAAAGTTTGGTAACCTTCAGACTGGCTAGGAGGTGGTTCTGTGGGCTGGGAAATCTTATTGCAAACTGGTTTCCCAGCAACARTATAAGCCAAATGGAATAAACATAAAGAAAACACAGTGATGAAAGTTACAACTTACTTCTTAACTTTTATTAAATGGAAAATGTATGTGCTTATTGCAATGCTTAGCTCAAAACCGCTGAGATTTTTAAAATAATCTTAATATTTAATAACATACAAAACTGCATAAAAATCATCACAAAAGGACATCATCATCATCATCATTATTGTATTTTGGTGGCAGATAAAAATGAGAAGATGGTTAACTATTAGCTTGTGTGGACCTTAAAGGGACAAACAGGAATTTGTCTAATGAGGCATTTTACAGATTCCCCAGCTCTTGTAAGATTTGTAAATTACATAGAATTGTTACGAATAAAGAAAACCATTTAAAGATAGGATCTTTCTCTGAAATTATTGGGAAAGGATTGAAGTGGATAAGATGTTTCCTTCATTTAAAAGGAAGGAGGAATGTTCAGGTAAATTGTTTCTAAACACTAGCTTATAATCACCATCACCTTTATTAACCTGTACCTTCTGTTCTTTCTTGAAAGGGGATCAAACAATGAGAACTTTAAAAAGGTGACTTTCTTTAGGTTAACTCTGTGTATCAATGTACATCTGTTCGTATTAATAATAAAATTTTAAAATTTGCAATATTTTAAGGATATTTTTGGTTTAAGGAACAGTTTCTCTACTATTCTTTCTTGCCTTACTCTTGTAATACAGTAAACTGGATTTAACAAATTTAATTCAATGTGCTTTTTTTCCAAAGGACATACTTCTTTTAAAATTTAGGCACATTGAGATATAATTTACAACAAATAAAAAGTAATTTTTAGTATACATCATTATATATATTCTGAAAAATATATTTAAAGCACCACCACACTCCAGACAAATAACATTTGCATCATTCCAATCCCCCCCTTTTTATTTTTTATTTTGAGACAGGGCTTTACTAAGTTGTGGAGGGCCTCAATAAGTTGCTGAGGCTGGCTTTGAACTTGGAATCCTCCTGCCTCAGCCTCCTAAGCCTCTGGGATTATACCATGACTTTTTTTTTTTTTTTTTAATTCAATATGAAATCTCCCTGTGTTGCCCAGCTTGGGCTTGAACTCACATCTTTCATTCTTAGCCTTGTATGTTTATTTTGAATCTATTAATTTTATTTATTTATTTATTTATTTCACTTGTATGTCCTTTTTTCTTTAATTGGTTGTTCAAAACATTACAATGCTCTTGACATATCATATTTCATACATTTGATTCAAGTGGGTTATGAACTCCCATTTTTACCACATGAATCTATTAATTTTAATGATTAGAATAAACTCACTAAAAATTAATAAATAAGGTATCAGTACTTCTGAAGTGTTTACTCAAATTTATGCCTTTTATGACTTTCTTTTCTTTTCTTTTTTAGAGAGAGAGAGAGAGAGAGAGAGAGAGAGAGAATTTTAATATTTATTTTTCAGTTTTCGGCAGACACAATATCTTTGTTTGTATGTGGTGCTGAGGATTGAACCCGGGCCGCATACATGCCAGGCAAGCGCTCTACTGCTTGAGCCACATCCCCAGCCCCAGACTTTCTTTATTTTCTAATTTTAAATTAGTTTAAACATTTGACCTATACTATCTTTCTTCTACTGTCAAATTCCTAATACAAAGATTTCTGTTGGCCGTGTATGATAGAATCCCACTTAAAGAATTAGAAACATGCTGTCACAGCATGTTTTTAAAAATTTTTGAAATGTGAAGATTTTTTAATTGTAACAGGTTTAATACATGAAGATTAGAGATAATGTTATCTACTTTAAAATGCATCATGTTAAAATTTTAGTAAGCCTATGTGTTTTCCTTAAAAGTATATGTACATTTTGGTATTTATGTATTGCATTTCAACACAAGACTACCTATATGAATAAAACACTTATTTTGTGAAGTGTGAAACCATTTTTCCCTTGTGTAATTATCTTTTTTTTTTTTTATAAAGATAATCCCAGAGGAGGTTGACTTTCTTTTCCTTTTGCCATCTCTTTCCAGAAATAGGCCTAGATAATGGAAAGACCAGCCAAATTGCTTTTTGTATTGTGTCTACTCTACCAYGCGGCCTAYGCAATGGTTTCATTAATGAGGTTCTAGGCATAAAGTTAGTTAGAAGAGATCGAAATAAAACACACAGACTCAGTTACCTTATTTCTATTGCTAGGTCCCAGACGGCTCCCCTCTCTGGTTCCCTCCTCTAACCGCCCAGCAGGGCAGCAAGGATTACTCAGGGATAGCAGGAGAGAGAGAGTTTGAACACGCCTGGAGTAGCCTTTTATTGGGGAACAAGAGATTCAGGGGAGAATTCCATCCAATGAAGGTTGAGGGGGGGCTGTACTCCAAGGTCAGGGTCAGTGATTGGGTCCTCGGGGTCAGTGGTCAGGCACACCTCCACACGGATGGGCTCTCTCATCAGGAAAGGGCCAGGAAAGCTTCGACACAGCCAAAGCGCCTCAGACCCTTAACGGGAGTCACCCAATCACGTGTTAGAATGGCTTCCCACAGTCTACCCCTGTGATAAAAGATCAGCTTTACATGATCACTTCAAAAAGTTGCTTTAATTTTATGAGAGTTCAGAACTGCAGTTATAGTAAAGATAGTGCTACGTACTCTGCRAGATCCATTATATGCTTCAAGATTATGCTTCACTGGTAGATGGAGGTGTATATGAATATTATTATGGATGGTTAGGTATCAGTAATCGATAGTGATTAAAGGTGAGATTAAGTATCATTTTAATTATGAATTTAATAAACACTACTTAAAATGAGATTATATATTTTGTTCAATTTGCCCAAATTGGCCATGAAAACCAAACTAAGCCTGCAAAAACTGAACAGCATAAAGGAGCTACCTGGAATCAGATGACAAGTTGAAATGAATACTTCTCTTTTATTCTACTGAATGCTTAAAATTGGTAATAGTTTTCATGAGATAGATGTCTTATCTATCGTCTGTTAATAGCGTATTAACTTCTCTTTTTATCCATATTACTGATTTTTGCTTTTTGAGTGGAATGTTAAGTTCATTTACAGTTATTATCGATAAGGTAAGACCTGCCATCTTTCTGTTTACTTTTTTGTACATTTTCAGTGTGAGTGGTTTTTGTAATTGTTGCTATTGTTCCTTAATTCCTCTGTTACTGCCTTATCTGACTTCTTTTGTAGTAAATAGATATATTCTGCTGTACCATTTTAATTTATTCCTTTTTTAAGATTTTTTTTTAGTTGTCAATAGACCTTTATTTTATTTATTGATACATGCTGCTGAGAATCTAACCCAGTGCCTCACACATACAAGGCAAGCGCTCTGCCATGAGCCACAACCCCAGCCCTAATTTGTTTCTTTTACTACATATTTTGAAGGTTGTTTTTTTTTTTTTTTTTTTTTTTTTAGTTTTTGCTGCGGGAATTGCAAATGACAATTTATAACAATTCTACTTTGGATTAATACAAATTGAAGTTTGTTAAAAATGTGCTTCCCTTTGTGCTGTTGTAACAAACATTATATCTTTTTATATTATGTGCTCATCAATATAAATTTAGAATTTTTGCTTTATGCAGTTGTCTTTCAAATCAGGTGTAAAAGAGAGTCACAAATATACATTTATATTGTCTTTTATATTTACTTATGCAGTTACTTTTACCAGTACTATTAATTTTTTTTATGTGKATTCAAGTACCCTCT